CGACCCACGCTGTCTGAAACTTTAGGATGCTATTGCACTGAAAATACACGTTTCTGATTTTTCATTCCGCTTTAAGGTGATATTGCTTCAATTAAAATTCGTGCACAATGACTTTTTTTTGGTATTTTTTTTTTTTTTTTTTTTTTTTTTTGGCGAATTTTCGGTGCAAGCAAACAGACGACGACCCAAAAAGGAATAATAATAAAAACTAAACAACTTTCCATTTCATTTCAAGGAGACAATAAGCCTGCACGTATCGAACAAATAGCAAAAGAAGGGGAACAACGTTTTTTTTTTTTATTTATTTTTCCTTTTTTTTTTTTTTTTAAGGGAACTTTTATCACAATATCTTACAGGCCTGCTCTGGTTGTTGTTTGGCATAGTGTGCTTGTGCCTGTGTTTGCAAGTTCAAGTAGTGAGTATTAATTCATTCATGCATGCATGCATGCATGCATGTGTTTCCATTCACATAGATACATACATGGCTATTGCTTTACATGCTTGCTCTTACTTCTGTGCTGCCGACGGTTGTGTTGTTGATGGTGTAGTGTGCTGTTTAATCATTGAAATTCAATCGAAGAAACTGATTACGTTTGCATTGAATTCAACACCAGTTTGTTGCAGCACGTTGTGAATGTGGTCGTCATTAGCTCGGACGAGCCGTTTAAGAAATAATACTAATGGCGTTCAATAGTGATGCACTTGCACCTAAAACATAATGAGGCGAAAAAGAAAACGGCGTAGGAGAAGAGGAGCAATGCCGCTGTATAAAAACCACGTTCAGCGTTACGTTTTAAATATGGTTCAGTTCAATTACACAGGTTGTTATTATATGGTTACAGGTTATAGTTTGAAAAAACCAGTATCACTGATCGCTGGCAACAGAATTTATACGACCACGACCAGCGCAACAATACTACAACGAAACGTTCGCTTTCATTTGCTGAACTGTCGCAACTTCTGGCCCAGCGTGAGTCATGAGTTTCAGTTTATGCTATGCTTAGAGTTGCAAATTTCGTTGCTCTCTCGACTGTCGTACAGTCAGCTCATGCAAGCGTCAAGCAAGCTATTGTACCTTTCTCACTTATACGCTCCGATACATATAATATTTGTTTGGATTTTTATTGCACTTGCTTACTTGAAGTCGCATCTCATGCAACAGGTTGTCTGGTTAATAGTTGGTTTTTATTTCTGTGCACTTGATTTTTCGTTTTCAATTTCTTTCGTACACACAAAGTTCAAGTCCGCTTTAAAACTCTTAAAGTAAATCGTCTTTCGTTTTCCCATGTCTTGTTTTTACTGATATTGTTGTTATTGCTTTTGTTGTGGCATGTATTTGTCGTGCCATACCCTATCAATGTGATTAATTGTAGTTTTTCCTGTTGACTTTCATTATGTTGCCTGTTATTGCATGATGTCCACACGCGCACGCTTATATTATGCATGCATGCATACATGCATACATGCATGCTTGCATACCCGAAAAGCAACAAAATGAATGAAACATTTTTTAACCCCATCTCAAAATAATCTTAAGTACCGTCCATAATCAGTTATTATGTGTAAATGAAATGTCAGTAATTTTCAAATTGTGTGCATTTATTTATTTTTTTTTTCCCAAAGCCAAACTCGAGGAATTTAAATCGGTTGAATAATTTTATACCGTTAAGTTTGAGGCGGTGGTGTTCGATTTTGCTTTTTCTCCGAAATCTATTCAAATTAAGGAAAATATGAAACTTATTTAAATTTAAGGAATTTTGCTTTGAATTCGTTAATGCCTTTTTGCTCTTGTTATGATCGTTGGTTTTAAAAAGTCTTCATCACGGTTTTAGTAAGCAATTGTATGCTTAAAAAGTAAGTAGGTCAGGGTTTCCACGGCTTTATGCTTCCATTTGTTGATTTGTTTAAATATTACCTTTATTATCATATACGGTTTTTATTTTGCTCGTTTTCAAGTCAGTTGCAAAGCCAGAATCTTTAAAGTTGTTACAAGTGCTTTATTACGTTTGATGAGACTCGTAACTTAATAACGATTTTGAGAAATAGTTGCGTTCACCTGATGTGATGTTTCATTCCAATTCCATCATAAGAAATTTATAGAAAATTTCTTTGCTGGCCGTACTTGAGAGAAAGCGCTTTGATAATTTCTATATAGTAATATATAAACTAAAAGCTTGTGATAGTACATTGTTTAAAGCTTAATAGTTGTTGTAATAACCGCGAGAGGTATTCTGCAGCAAATGTTTTTAACTATTTATTACTCCTTCGCGGCGGAGGCTGTTTTTATTCGGCATACACTTGACGCATTTAATTACGGCAATCGTTGTTTGGTTTCCAGCGGCTGTGTGTGGTAAAATTTAGCATTGGTGGTGGCATACATAATTTTTGAGTTTACTTTCAAGTATAGTCTGCAAAAAATCCTGTTTTCCAAAACATAAATGAGGGCGGCTTGCTATCAAAGCGTCCACAGCCTTCATTTATGTTCCTTGCACTGATCTAATTCTTTTTGTGCCCATTCACAAACCTTATTTTGCGACTCTCAACGATATTGCCTCAACTTGATAATTGTACAAGTGATCGAGTCGGCCAATGCCTACCTTTGTATACCCCGTATCACTTCACCTAATAGAATCCTTAATTTATTTGTGTGATAATATATCAAAACTTATACTTCGGTTCCATTTAAAAGCCTTACTTTTTATAGGAGTCCTTGTATGGAGGAGGGCCCGAAACATAAGCTGATGTAGTCTAGATTTAGTAAAACTAATCCTTTTGTCAAATACATTATTATTGCTCAACCTATAATAGTCATAAAGCACTAGAAATTAAATTTTTATTGTCATACATTTCATAACTAAAAGGGGCGAGATCCAAAAAATTTACCTACGCGGCCCTAGTATGGTATGGCTAATTTTCGTGTCAAACCGTCGTTACGCATGTATTGTAAATTAGATTAGATTAGAATTAGAAAAGCATGCCTTTCATAGGAATAGCTATGTAGAACGGCCCATCCGATCCAAATTTTTTATCTCAATTGAAAGCAAAGCTTTACGAAAAATCAAATGTAAAGATGTATGCCCTAGTAAAACAAAATGTCGCAAGGAGTAAACACTATATTCGCCCGCGTCTTATCTCTCTTTATGCGGATCAATCATATGTAGGTTGTGTGTGGTTCCTGAAGGTGCTTTCCGGGGGCTGCAAATGTTTTGATAAAAGAGTGAAATTCTAATATTTTATAATATTGAGTGGGTGTGGCTGATTTTTTCCATTTTTGTACAGGTGCTGCAAGACCGGCCACCCACAGAATATAAATGCAAATTTTTACCGTCGTATCTGCCGTGCTTAGCATTGAGAAAAAAGCCAATTTTATTTTCTTTCTGAAAACACAGGTGGTCCAGAGTTAGATTGTGCTGCGGCCATACCCTTTGACTAGTTTGGCTTAATTTCAATATTAATCTGCGGGCAGATCTTTTTACCAAACCTGATTACTGCACTTTTAGTAGCAGTAGAATGTTTAGCACAGCCAGATGAATCTTGACCGACGACAAAATTGATGCTAATCAAGAATATATAAACTTTGTGAAGTCTCTAAAGCGTATCTCTGGGTGTTGCAACCGTTTTGATAAAATGAATATATTCCTCATCCTTGCATGATGGAGGTATAAGGAAATATTACTTATTGCCGCTATCTTGAACGAGACAAAATGGAAACTTTTATGAGATCGATTCGCGAAAGGAATATATATGTATGGCTGAGTATGAATACTAGACACTGGTAAATAAAAGTTTCATTATTACGATGATCCAACTGTAAAAATTATATATACAAAAATTACCAATAATAAGCTTTAATAATTTGTGAGCTTATAAAGTGAGTGGATGACAAGGAGAGGCAAGAGGAAAAGAGAAAGAAGAAACGCTTTATGTAGACAATTACAACTTCATTTACTGACTCTTGTCCTGAATCAGAGACGACCCCCATTAACTGCGTCTATATATGTGTGTTGGAAGGCAAACTTTGACTAAAACGTTCATGTCGCTTACATTCTCACGCGTTTATTAATAAATTTCAAGTTTTTTTTTTTTTTGCTAAAATATTTTCGCTGAAAAATTTCTCTACTTTTTGCTGATTGAATCTCATAATCATTCTTATGTAAAACTCACCTCTTGCCTGATTTTATAATATCAGCAGCAACTGTTAAAACTTGTTTATAACTTTTAGAAATACTTGGCTAGCTCATCTTGTCTGCGTTATTAAGTTTTTTGTGTTATTATGTTTTGTTATGTTACGTTTATGTTTTCTCACAACCACTACAAAAAAAAAAGAAGAAAAACGTGACTCTTATGACATTTTCAATTTTCGTTTTTAATGTTTTTGTAAATTCAATTTTATTTCGTTAACCAGAGGGAGTTTAGTTTTTCATCAAAACAAAAAAAAAAGAAAAAACATCTCTTCAACTACTACTACAACTACTAGCCTTGTTATGCAGTAACTTCATTTTTTTATTTTTATTTTTTTTTATATTTTAACACAATAACATAGCCATATAATTCAAATCGATTTTTTCTCTCGCAAAATTGTATATAGATTTAAGTTTCAAAGGTTTGTCGCTTCATTTCGAAAAATAATGTTATTAATGTCAGTTAAATGTCATCTTTAAATCAAATTAACTTTTGTGAGTCCTCCAATGTTAATTTAATTGTAACATTTGCATGTAGCTGCTTGCATCTCGTAAATAAAAAATGAAGAAAAATAAAGAGTAATAACAAACCAGGTTATTAACACGTTAAGTGTGCATGCATTCAACCCATCAAAGTTTTGATAAAACATCTTATGTATGTAGAATTGTTTTTGCCTGTAATTAGCTTTATTAAAATTTTGTTTGATATATTTTCAAGATCGAACAAAAAACTTTGCAATTTTAAAATAACTTTTTAATATATTATTTTCAATTTTTTTATTAATCTCACACATGCTTACTTACTAACACATACAAAAGCCGGTCATAATTAAAACAGTAAGTACTTTTAAGACTTTTATATCACTCAAACAGTATCTACAAACTAAGAGTTACTACAATTACAATCAGAATTGGAAATGTTTTCAGTAAATTGGTTCCTATCAGCAAATGGCCTTGATAAAATTGTATAACCGCATTTTAAGGGATCTATCACCTATGATTATTATTTCTATAATATAACTAAGTAACCATTAGCATTACAGGCACTTCTCTTAACCGATATGGAATCTTCTATGCTTCAATTCTCTTGTTAGTCAGGAAAGTGTTGCCAGTAATCCTTCAGAGCATCGATTTTCATTAAAATGAATAGAGAGGGTCAAGAAAACAGAAAAATTTTCTAAAATCCTCTCAATGCCCCAATAATTAAACTTGTCTGAAGAGAAGTAAATCTACAACGAAATAACACAGGCAAGGTTTGACAAAACCAAGTTCTTTTTATATTTCCCTTCTTTGGTGGCAATAATACCGATAAGACCAACCCTGTAATCAGGTAATCCTTTTCAAAATCATTGTTCAACTGATCCCATGTGAATATTCCTAATTTTGGAAGTAACATTAAAACTTTGGTCTCTAATTTTGACGCAAAAAAGATTACTTCCCCAATATGCTTGAACATGTCTCGGTAGATGCAAAGGTAAAATATCTTAAACTAAATAATTTGCAAATGTTCGGGATAAACAAGCGTTCCAGCGCTTGAAATTTGCTTTCAGCAATTTTTCTGAATATTGCTACTTGTACAAACCGGGACTTAAGCTCAGGCCATCTTTTTCAGATGAAAAAAATCTTGTGTTTTGCCAAGTAGTAAACTTCAAGTGTAACAATGAGGAAATTTTATGGTTTTTGGCACTACTTTGTTACGTAAACTGCCCTGTTGCGATTTTGTGTCTTTATCCAACTCCTTTTGCGATTAAGTTCGTATCACTGAACTGTGATTTTTAAGATGTCCTAGATTTAAGAGATCTCTTAATAAGTTATTGGCAGGAACTTACATTTGGAATGCCTCTTCTGGTCTTGTCCGTTCGAACACTAAAATTCAACTCTCTGGGCTCGCTTGAGTTTGTCTTTCGCAAATACTTTGCTTATATACCCTTTACAAGCAAGTTACCCAATCAAACTTTATTGTGACACTTCCACACATTCACACTTCCACACTAACCCCTTTTTTATGTATGAAATGTTCTGGAAATTATTGTTAATCTTTTCCCCAATCGCCATAGAGCATCATGAACGTGTTTTTGGTTTTATCATTTTTACAAAACGGTTTCCTAGAAAATTGATTGGTTTTTCATGCAAACGCATTTCATCAAATGTGAGATTTTTGTAACAACATTTTTATATTTTAAGACATTTGTAACGTAGTTAAAAAATAAATAGTTAATCAAAATTGCAATGTTGTAGTTAACTGTTAACTGTAAAGTGCGTGTTCTTCGAGCCTCATCGACAAACTACAAAGAGCAAAAAATAATGGATAAATGCTGTCTATGCACGTTCTTCCTGGCACTTTCGAAGTTCACGTTCCAATAGTTCACATGATTAGTGATGTCCAAGTCACATCTGAACGTGTTGACTTTTTGACTTGAAAATGTTGAAATCGTCGTTTTATATCACTTAACACACAAATAGAGCGACTTGCAATTTTTCATTGCCTTTTTTTTTCTTTGTGATTTCTTTACACATTATTCTCCTTATGGTACATTGTGCACATTGTATATGATGTGTTTATTTTGATAAAGTTTCCTTTGTTATATTTCCTCGTTTCTGTTTTCAATTTTTCCTTTCTGTCCTTATAAAATTTTTATTATAAATTATACAAAATAAATAAATACTACCGAGGAAAGAAACAAAGTAACCTTTGTTTTCATTAAAATAAAAAATATTAAAAAAAAGAAAAACAAATCCGTTATTAACTAGAAGATTCACCTAGATATCCCATATTCCTATATGGATCTACAAACATATGTTATCGCGCATCTCAAAAGTTTATAAGCAGTAACAGTATGTAGAAGTGTCACATGTACATGAAACACAAATGTGTAGGGTATTAGTCGTAAGTAGACTGGCAATGTACTTTAATAAAAATGACAAACTTATGAACCATAAAACAAAGCCAAAAAGAAAAGATTTAATATATTGCAGTAAGATTCCTTTGTGGCGCTCGTGTTTTACCTTCAAGTATTAGCTATTAAGACAAAATGATGACCTTGGAGCACCAAAAAATATGAATTCTGCTGTCAAACGGGAATATATTCTTTCATGAAGTTGTTGGCACATCTAAGGGAGATTCAACGAAGTGGGGATAACATTAGAGGGTAAATCGGGAAATTTCGGATTTTGGACCGAGCGAAACATGTACCTAACAATAGCAAATTTAAATCAAATATAGAAAGGTTTGAAAAATGCTTTCGACCGAATGGCCAAACTTATGCGGTAAACCCATGCTGTAATCACTCTGAAGAAGAACACCTTATTGTGTTATGCTTAATTTACTTTTTTCGTATTCATATTGAGGGATTGAGCAAAAAACTCTCTCCTTTCCGCTAAACTAACCAAATTTTATAGCGAAATCTCGGAGTTAGATCCACTCCACAATATTCTTTCCACGACTGCAGTAAACTTCGCCGCTATATTTGCAGAATATTCCTCTCTATCTGGGCTATCGTCTACTTTCATGTTCTCCCGTCGTCCACTTGCCGAGCTCGATTTTCTTATAAATGTCATTTTCTAAAGCGTTCTAATCACAATCTTCTCGCCCGACCTTTCTTCTTTTGCTCCTCTTTTTTCATCATTTGTGCCCAACAGTGCACTTCTAGCAAATAGATCTCAATAATAAGTTAATAAGTGTTTGTTTGTTGTTGCTATTACTGTTTTTGTACAATTTGACAGTGGCATCTGTTGCCTTCAAATTTCTTTGGTTTGATTCACTTCAATTTTTAATTTCTCAACACTTTTCATTCTGGCTTGGCATTGAATCAATTCGGAATTTCACACTGTCCGAAATTAGGTTCACTTCTAAATTTTTTTTTTTTTAATTATCCAGTACGCGAATGCAGGTGAATTTATTTAATATTAAATATAAATATACTTAGAATAAAAAAATAAATGAAATTTTTTATACTATTTTTTCTGTTCATGTGCGTCGAAGCTTAAAACAGCAGTTAAGAACTTGATTCGTCCGTGCTTTGAACGCTTAAGTTAAAGTTTATTTTTTGTTTATTTTCGTTTTTGTTAATTTCTTAAGATTTAATAATCACTTCGTTAATATCACACACTTTTCCCTTTGTTCCCAACTGCCCCAAATGAAATTATTTTAACCTACTTTTGTAAACCATGGCTCGCTGTTCAAATACATGCTTCGTTTACGAAATTCAGTGATAGCCGCAGTAGGCGTAAGAAACTTTTTCAATTTGTTCTGCATGAGTCAGAAACTTTCACACTCATATTTGAATATGAGTGTACTACTTTTCATATTGCATTTGTCACAGGCAGAAGTATTCAAAGTATTTATATAAAAAAGCCGAAACTTCCAAACAAATAAGCGACGCGACGAAGAAACAAACAAAGGTTTATTCAAAGTGTTATTGGTTTACAACGAACTCGCCTTGTTCGCCAGATAAAAACGAATTTCTTTTTTTTTTTAAATTCAACCTTATTCTTCAATGACTCTCCTTCAAGGGTAATGCGTTCATTCCAACGCTCCTCTAACTTTTCGATGCACGTTTTGTACCACGATTTCTCTTTGATCTCGAAATAGGACTCAAAGTCGGCTACCGCTTCTTTATTTGAGACCAATTTCTTTCACCGCAGCATCTTTTTGACGTATGCAAAGCGCAAGAGGTCACTGGCGTCCTGATCTGGACAATACGGTGAGAGTGGAAGCAATTCGAAGCATAATTCGTTCAATTTAACCTTAGTTTTTATTGACTTGGGACACGGAGCGAAACAACACTTACTTCTTTTGCACGTCCACGCTTTTTTCTCGACTTACGCCATTCTGTGTGTATTTCGCTAATATTCGTTTGTTCCTTTTCAAGATAGCCGATGAATAAAATACCAAGTACATTCCAAAACGGCTTAACTATCTTAGCCGACCTTTAGTTTTGAGGTCGTTTTGGATGATTTCTGCCGCTGCTGCTGTCCACTCAGCTGGCGATCTTTTTAATTCACGTGTGTAGTAGTGGATCCATATTTCAACCATTTCCACATACCGACACAAGAAATCCTTTTTTCGACTTCTTTTGAACAACTCCAAATAGTGACCTAAATCGTTGACAGATCGTTGTTTTTGGTCCAGGGCGAACAAATGCACACACAGCTATCTCACGGGCAAATGTTCATCTAAAATAGTAAACACACTGCTTTGCGATATTTTTAAAGTGCCAGCTAACTATTCCAACCAAGTTCACTTTTCGTTCTTCGAAAGCTTTTTTTATATATTCTGAAACAATTGTCAGCTTTGAACGACCAGAGCTTTCGTCATTAAGGGCTGTAGGACCGCGTTCAAATCCTCCATAGCAGTCAAGGGTAGTTTAGTTCCTTAGTACAGAGTCCACATAACGCTTATTAAACTATTTTTCCCTATCAAAAAACAAAGTTTAAGCAAAACACGAAATTCTTTTCTATCCACTGATGTGAAGAATACAAAATCATTGGCTTCACTAAAATGACTGTAACTTGTCAACTAATGCTCAGAATGTTTCAGATACGTATGGTTTGAAATCGTACTAGGTCTCTTAACGGTCTTACTATGTATGTGTCGCACCGGGAACTTGGTGGATTGTTATTTACCAAGTAAATTACGTCTTGAACATTTTTCCGACATATCGCCCGACTTTTTAAGAATTTATTTCAAAATTTAAATAAAATGTTGACAAACTCTAAAATTTTTGCCCTTACGATGCCCGCAATTCACTAAAGCTGACCCTGACTGCAATAATTTTATCCAGAATAACAATAGTGAATAACTTATTAATAACTTATGAATAAAGGCGCAAATTGACATAGCGTTAGTGTCTTCGTAATAATTTCATTATCACCGATAGATGAGGGGTCTATTGACTTTGTGAAAACGTTTGCAAGGCCCAAAAGAAAGCATCAGAAACCTCACAAAGTATATTCTTGATCAGCATCAATTTCTAAATCGATGTAGGTGTTGTAAAGATTTTCCTACGGAAACATTGGAAATTCTTGTAAGTAGGTTGGTATTGAAAATGGGTCGAATGGGTCGAAGGACTTGCCTTTAGCGCCACGTAAACTGACAACAAACGAAATGAAAAATTGCTTTTTTCTTCATTACTTACAAACTATGGGAGATGAGCATACAAAAGTTTAAACGTATATTCTATGGGTGACGCTGTAGTGTTTGTAGAAAATTGGAAAAAATTGACCACGCCTATTCAACAGACAGAAACAAACTTCAAAAACCCCGCAAAGTATATAAATTCTTGGCCATCTTCAAATTTGGAATGCACTTAAACATGAAAATTTAGTTCTACTTTTGAGGATAATGGTGATGGGTATAAAAGATTCGGTCACGACCGAATATAATTTTCTTATTTACTTAAATTTGAATCAGAGGTCGATCACTTTTCCGTCCTATCTACGACGGACGAAGACTGTGTAGATAGATTGTAGCTAACTGAAATTTCAACTTGATTTGGATCTTGATTGTGGGATTCCCCGAATCGATTTCTGGGCGAGAGTGATTAATTAAAATTAATCAGTATAATCTAATATTTCGTTGTTGACGAGTGTAAAAATGACTTTTTTTTTTTTTTTTCTTCATCGCACTTTTTCGGGCAAAATGTTGGAATTTTCTCACGCCATTAAAGCAATTAAAGTTAAGATAAAGTTTAGCTACCAACCGTAATATTAAAATTGCAGTCCAATAATGATCACTTTCATTAAATTAATCTTTTGTGAAATGAAAGAAAAATTCATCCAAAAGACTTTCGTTATTATGGTGCGCTAAAGTAATTTTATTGCAAAAAGTTCAAATGCTTTGTGGCGGTAGCGATGATAAAGTGAGTTCACAGATGGCATTTTTTCCATGACATGCATGCATGAAAGCAAGTGATGTGAAAAACATTACGAGCAAAGAGAAGACAAAAAAACACAACAACAAAAAAAAAAAAATAAATAAATAAAAAGAAGAAAAATCTTTAACTGAAGTAATTTTTAAATTGTGGAAAAGAGCGGCTATTTGGCATTTAGTTTGACTATTTTTTTCTCTTTTTTTTTTTTTACAGAATAACAAAATAGACTTAAACAGTAGTCATTCAAGCAGTCAGTAAAAATTATAGCTACTTAGTGCTACTGGGATTTTTTTATATGGCTAATTAGAGGGTACATGTGCTTTATTATTAAGAGGTATTAATCAAAAATACACACTGAAGTCTAAGGGACTTTTTCTCGTCCTATTTTGAAAAGTTTTTAGTAAGCAAAAAAAGCCTGATGTGTCGCAGGGCGGTTAGTGAAAGTAATCGCAGTTATGGTGTGTGACGTTTTCACATTCGCTGAGCGGAATAAACGAAATGAGTTAAATGTTAGGAGATTTAGAGCAATACTTGCTATATATCTAAACTTAACGATGGCAATATTTTAAAATTTACTTTTTTGTTTTTTATTACTTTTTCAAGACGTTCAGTTATTTTTTAAGTGTTTGCTGAAGCACTACAGCTAGTCACGAAATATTCAGTAAATGAGTAAGCACACAGACTCTTTTCAATGAGGTGCCCATAAAGCTTCTTTTCCGCGAGCTGTGTGGGCATGTTTAAACTAAAATCTTAGACTAAGCAAGGCGTAGGACTGAAACTTTGGCTCTTGGCTTGGAACATCGAATTTCTTTAATTCTTTCCGTTCCGTTCATAGTAAACTTATTGTAAGGTACACTACTAGTCTGTGGGCTATAAATTATTTCGTGAGACCTTATAAGAAAGTGACTGAGAAAATAAAAGCAGACCTCTTGACATTCTTTTACACATATGTGGATGGTTTGTTTTTTTTTAAACTAAAGCTACTAAAAAAAGCAAAAATTTGAAAATGGAAATCTTAAATCTACATATGAAATTTAGAGGAAAAGAAAAAAAATATTGTCCCTGAAGGGGTTAGTAAACATCAAAAATTAAACGAATACTCCACCGGTTGTAAAAGATTCGCCTCAAGTAGGGTAAGTCCAGTTCCATTTTTAAAGCCGCCTTTTTCTCTCTGGTAAATTGAAACTATAGTTAGTTAAATGAAACGCAAACAATTATTTACATTTTTGTTTATTTTACTTGTTTTTTCATCTATTTCAGGCTTCTCGTAAAGTTTCCAAATGTGGTTATTTATTTGTGGCACCTGATTGGGACTTCAATAATCCCCTTTATCGCACCAAGGTAAGATATAAAAAAATTTTATTAAACATCTTTTTTTTTCCTAATTCATGAAAAACAATTCGGCTTCGGCTAGAGCAACAGTCCGGGCTGCTGCTTTAAAATAAAAACAAGAAATCATTCTTACAGCATATAGCGAATATATCTCTCTCTGATACATATCATTAACATTCATTTGCATTTTTAGAGAGGGGGGGAAAAGTCAGTTCGGTTCGCAATTTAGGGCGACTTGATATATTAGTTATATTAGGTAAAACAAAAAGAAATTTGTAGGAAAACTGACGGTCCATTGATAATTAAAAAAAAAAAAAAAATTCCCAGGCTAAGAACAGCCATTACAAGCTTAAGCATTTAGAATTAGCCAAAAGAAAAGACCGCGTTTTCCATAGGGCCTCGCACATAAATAACGATTCGACAAAAATTGGGGGCAGTAAAGCGGCTCTGAAGTTTTCAGGGTATGCGACTATCATCTATTGCGTTGTTTACGGAAATCTTTGTTAAAGGTATAAAGCCGACTTTCAAAGACACTCGCAGGAGTTGTTCGAATCAGCTATGGTTCGATTTCGATGATACAATAGATATAATAGCAAATGGGTCTCTTGCGTAACAGATGAAAAACCCCGAACAAACGCAATAAACTTTTCGAGGACAGTATACATATATTTCGACAGGAAGATCAAAGTATTTAAGTAAAAGAGAGAAAAAGATACCGCGACCTAGTGAGTTTGCTTCGCCCCGTTAGTATATCTTCCAACTAAGCGCTCACTATAGCTACTAGATAGTCAGTGCGCACCGATCAAATATGACCTAGGAAAGCATATCAAGCAACGAGTTGGTAGTTTCGAGTCTGATCTACTGAGCTATGCGGCCGTCGAGATGAAGTTTTAAACTTCTAACAGTGACTGTCGCGAATCTAGCAACAAAGCTCTCTAGTGTTGGACACGCGATGTGCCCCTTATCCGTTAAGTGGTGAATGTAGCAACTTTAGCAACTTTATCGACATGAAATATTTCAGCAAAAGACAGCCAAGTAAATTTTCTGAAAAAAAAGTGCATGGGCTCCAAGATGCTGCTTATCATGTTGCTACAAAAGTAACCAAATATTTACCAAATGTTTGCTATCATCCTCCTCAATACATCAGGTCGTAAAAATTTGCCACTAGCTAAGACGGTAGTATCGCATTTCCTAGTAGACGAAGTTTGCTCTTAACATTCAGGTACATTCACCACATTGGTTTTGCAAAGGAAGGAGGAAAGAACACATATTTTTTAAGAAAAGTGGTAACATATTCTCTCATCCTTCATTCAAATGTATGTAACATTTATATTCAAGGGACATTTTATAGCGCTTAATGTTTATGTTTTATTCTGCAGACTCGAGACTAATTACATGGTAATAACTTCACTTAGTTAAGAGCACCTCTAGCGATATTAACTCTTCTCAATTTTAGTTTGCGCTGAGCTATTAAACTGCACGCGAAATATTTTGTTTTTTCTATAATTTTTTGCCTTGTTGTTTTAATTGTATTTAGATGTTGTGGTTTACCTCCTCAGTCTCAATGTAATTTATTAGCTTTTCTTCGTCCCTCTTCGTAAATTTTAAAGTGGTAACGTAACAAGTGCGCTTTGGCGCTTTATTTTTGCTACATATATATATACATTTTTTTTTTTCTGGGGTAAAAAACGGCATTATTTGTTTTAGATGTGAGCAGCGCCAGACCAAACCGGCGATAAGTATCAAATTTTTATTATTATGATGCTGACAATTGCTATTTTTATGGTCGATTTTCGGTTCTACCAGCAAAGCCTGTTTGTGTTATATTTTCGTTTGATAATACCAATGTGTGTGTGTGTGTGTGTGTGTCTTTCCTACAAGTGTTTTTTTTGTCATCTTTAACGTTTTAGATAGTAAAAGAAAACATAAGAATTTCAATAAACGAGCAACAAGTTATAAATTTGTGTTGAAAAATTTCTAATTGTCATAACGATCATAAAAATATCTGTTTGTGTATGATTAGCGCGCGCGCGTGTGTGTTTATATTTAAGTATGTTTGTGTGTGCACAATGTATTTAAAAAGATCATGAGCTATTTATCTGATGACTACGTTTGTGATCAACAAAGAAATTTGAATAAAAAAAAAAAACAAAAAAAAAAATATTTATTTATTCTGTTGGATTATTAGGAGGCAAGGAAGCTGAACCAATCAGCCAGTTAGGCCGGCAGGCAGACAAACAGCATGTGTTCAAGTTTGTGTCAAACCTGTTTTTTTTATATTCATATTTTTCTTTTCATGAGGCCATAAAGCCATACCCACCAACAACCATCATCCTCTACTATCGTCCATTGCAAAGAAATGCCATCTTTCTAAACGGTAGCTTCCGAAGCTAAGAAAATAGCGAAGAACGAAAAAACTTATTTATTCTCTACCAATTTTCATATATCTTTTGGCCAAAGTGCCTATATACATATCTTTGCAATTTTCCCTCGTATTTTCTTTCATTCACAATTTATTTTGTGTACTCTACTGTAGTGCAAATGACACATAGAGCTCATTAAGCGCATATATCTACAAGATGCCTAAACTAAATTCTTCCTCAAGAAATACGATTTTCCAAAAATGAGGACGCACCTATTTCACTATTCACATGAAAAAACTACTAAAGCTTTAGCTTGCTTCTGCAACAACGAGTTCACGTGGGACGTCAAAGATTTCCTTTGAATAGTGTTAGCACTTTGTGGATGTTATTTTTTGCAGATTCTGTGGCCCAGAACTTTAAAATACACCTCACACTCATATTTCTTCCCACTTGTGAGAGCCCTTTCTGTCAGCCCATCGAAGCTGTAGATATAATGTACCTCATGTCCTATATCGGGCAATATTTTTAGAATCTTCCTGTTTTTATAGAACAGTATTTTTATTTAAAACAAAGATGAGATTTTCAGTACAACTTACCATAAACAATTTTTCAAAGTTTTAATTAAAATCATGTACTGCTTAACAATACATGAATTCTTTCAAAGAAGGTCAGAGTATATCAAATGTTTAATTGCTCGTTTGAAATCTTCTCTTAGTTGTTATAAAAAAAAGGTAGGGAATTTGTCTGCCAAGTCTAACTTCCTGGTAGCATTCTCACTTGTTTTTCGTTTTCTAAATAATGTTTTTTGTCGTATGCTAATCGTTGGTTAATTAAAGAAAAAGCCAATAAATTGGTTTGTGATGGAAAGAAAAATAATAATAATAATAAAAATAATAATAATAATAATAATAATAAAAGTGTAAGAAAAGGAAAACTTGTGTTAACAAGGAAATGCTTTAGCCATTAGATACGAATAGTTGCTGAACATGCGTTTCTAACTATCAGCATTTGTTTATTTATATAGCTTATAATGCCTATTGGCTTTCGATAAAAAACCTTGTTGTTTATTTATGATAATTGTCTCATAATGTGGTTTATTTATGGTTTAAATTTTTCTATACAGTCGCAAAATATCTCTCGTCGCATATGTAACTTTCTTTTTGCATTTTTCCCGACAAAAAAATTATTTGCAAAAAATGAAATAAATTTTATGAATATGCTAAAAATATATATTCAAACTTCTGCTGGTATCGATAAATGGTTTTTTAGTAGACTTTTCTTTATCGCTTAATTAGCAATAGTCTACTTGCATGTGCGGATACATACGAGGGTTGATTAAAACGCTTGCGGCAGTTTGCTTCTACGTTTTTAAATTCATAGCTGAGACCATGGAGCTCGTCAAGCTTGTTCTCTATCCTGGATAAAGAGCAAGTAGTCAGAGATGGCCAGATAAATGCCGAAACTAAGTCATTCAAAGTTTTTGCTTTACGTCGAACATCTGAAAACAATTTCATTAGGAAACTGCAGATGGCATAAGGAAACTATTTGCCAGCAACTTCTGCCTTCTTTAGTTTTTGCCTCTTGCTGGGTAGCTTGCAAATGGCCACACTGTAGGAACTTCGTAGTTTCGAGGCGAAATAGCCATCAGCCATCCATTTTCGCACATCTTCAACTTTGCAAAACCACTGATCTGCTTAATATGACTGCATCGTATTGAACCTATGATAATTGGAAAGAGACAGGTCGGGAGAGAAGTTTCCAGCCTAATTTAAAACAGTTAGCGCAAGGACACAAAAGTAAATTATGTTATTTGTAGATATGAAATCCTCGACATTTAAATGTTGAAAGCAAAGTTGCTGATCACCTAAAATGTATAACACATGACCCATGAATAAGTTCGTAGGATACCTTTGACATATTTCGTTTCAAGGTTTTGAAAATCATACGGATTCATTCTACATCTGCATCCCATCCTATGAACTTATTGATTGATATGATATTACATCCTAAGTTCGCTCACACAACATTCTCACTAGTTGAATCATTTACTGACTCTTCAAGCATGGCGTAGCCAAACAAGTACAGAAAATTATTTTTTTTCTGCCACCACAAGTTTCCACTTTTTGCATGGCGGCTCATTCTGCTTTGAAATCCTGAAGTACGATAAAGTAAATAATTTCTTTCTTTCTTAACTTCTTGATATATCCGTTACTTGGATTTTTTTGTTTATATACATATATCCAGGATATGTCAGTTAGAGTCTGCTTATTTTTCTTTTTTACTTGCTTGTCTATCATCGTTTTCTTTTGAGTGAACCATAATTTCTTATGTCTTTACGTATCGATAAAACTAAAGAACACTAATAGTTAGCTTTTTTCTACATTTCACACTCTTCTCTCCTCGTCGTCAATGGTTTTTGTAAAAAAAAAAAAAAATATTTAAAACACGCAAACATGTCAGAGCATTGAAGACATTAAACCTATCAAATAGTTGAACTATCGACTTTTCAAGCTCATGTTGATTTACTATATAACATACAATGATTTTCATTTTATGATTATTATCACATCGCAGCATTGCTCGCTATTAGCATGGAATCCAAGCATCTGAAAAACATTAACGGTAAAAGTTAATAATACCAGACTA